GCAGGGGGTGTCCCCCCAGTGTTCCCCCCCCCCCCCCCCAGCCAAGCCTGACACTTTTCCTGCCTGTTACAGCAAAGAGATTAATTATCTCAAAAATCACCGCAGAGCTGCGAGACAAAAGGTTGTATTGCTTGCAGATGTTTTAGGAGCTTGGAAAGCTGGCCTCTCCTGAGCCCTGACAAGGTACCTCTTCTATAATCCTACAAAAAAAGTCTGAAAATGAAAGTGGGAGACAGGTCAGCTCAAGTCTGGTCAGTCCTTTAGTTCTAATCAGGAAATCTTTTGGCTTTCATTTTGACCTTTAAAGAATCGATGAGTAAACAGTTTCAAAACAAAACAAAACTATATTTGAAACTAAACCAGTGGGGCTTGGCTTTGAAAATGCTGAAACAAAATGTTTTCATAGTTTTTTGCCTATTTTAAAATTTGGTTTAGTGGGAAACTTGTTTTTTTTCTGCATTTTTTTTTTTCCCCCAAAAGGAAAAGCCCATTTATGAAACCTCCCTGCCCAGCTTTATCCCAGTGCTGCTCCCCATACAAGCCACCTTTGAGGATGCTCTCCCTCTCCCTCTCCTCTGGGGACAGGGATTCCCTCCCCAGCCCCAGCCCCAAGATGTTCTGGCCCTCTGGAGATGAGATCTCACCTCTCCTTTCAGCAGGTACCGGGGGAAAAAGAAGTAAGGGATGGATGTGAGCACCAGGCAGCCCGAGGAGATGAGAAGTCCCAGCCACCAGGCTCCAATCCACTGCTGGTCCCTTGGTGTCAGGGCCACTGCAGCTGCAAGACACAAGGAGCCCAGCCTCAGAGCTCTGCTGCCTGTGAAGGGGCCAGCAGGGACCAGTGGGACACGAAGGGCCCGTGTGGGCACAGGCTGGGGGTCCACTGGATTGCAGGGTGGGGGGTTTGGGCAGCTCTGGAGGGTGCTGGGGGCACGGGGCCAGCTCTCCCCCAGCAAGGCAGCAGTCACTGGGCCTGACCCCCTCCTCCCCCGGGGCACACGGTGGGTTTGGCCTTTGCTGCCTGCCAGGACCCCTCCACCCCGGGGTCAGATGGCACCACGGAGCTGCTGGGCAAAGGCTGCTCCATTTGTCTGCCAGGGTGGGGAGGCAGCCAAGGCTTCTGGCCATTTCCTGCCCCTGGGGCATCTATTCTTCTTATCAGGCACCAGACAGGAACGTCAGGAGAGCTCTGAGGAAAGGCAGGAAGAGCCCCATTAATGATGGAGCTGGAGAATTCTTTAGTGATTAAGTTACTAGAAACAAGGACACACCACAGATAAAGAAAATAAACCCTGTGGTGGCACTGGCTTGGCCCCTCTCTCTGCAGATGCAAGTGAAGGGTGGTGGGGAGGAGGACAAGCAGGCTCAAGCCTTCCTGTTGCCCTGTGGTTGTCTTCTCCATCCCTGGATGCTTCAGAGGTCCCTCCATCACCATGCTGGGGCAGCGTGATGCTTCCTCAGCGTGGTGGCAGTTGGCAGACACCCAACTTCAGCACAGCACCATTGAAATGTCCCTTCCACAGGGCTCTGCTTCACTGGTGGCTTCAGGACTCTCCGTAGCCTTGCTCATGGGGAACCTGAGTGCAGAAGTGTGCTGGGAGGGCTATTCCAGGTCAGGGCTTTTCAGGGGAGTGGATTTTGTGGGTCAATGGGCTGGTGGCTTCTGCCAGTCCTCTCAAAGGTACTTTCTGATGCAGAAGGCTTTTAGGAGGAACATCAGTGCCAGAGGAATACTCACCAAGGTCAACTCTCCCAATATCCACGAAGAGCCGGAGCACCACGGAGCCCAGCAGGTATCCAAAAGCTGGGCCAAAGACAGCAATGGCAAAGAGGATGGCTGGGGAAAAAGGGGCAGAGGGAGCCAGTGTGAGAGGGAGCAGTTGCTTCCGTGCAGATAACAGCTTTTGTCTTCCCACAGGAGGCAGGAATGGTGTTAGAACATGCAGGGGAGAGAAACCACCTTTTGTCATGTGTCAGATTGTGAGAAGATCCCCACTGCTCAGCTACTGAGTGTGGTGTTTTTCCAGCAGGGTTAGGAGGAGGGCAGGCAGCTGCCTGCAGAAAATGTCCTTCTGCACTGCTGTCATCAAGGCTTTGCTGCTGCACTGAACATTGTCAACAGCTACGATGCACTGGGATGAAGAGGAGAACCCCAGAGAGCAGCAGGATGGTGGCAGACCTTAATCTCCTACAGGAGGCCAAGGAGACCAAGCCATCTCAGTCCTCAGATCCAAGAAAAACATTTGGTGCAAACTTCAGGGGAGGTGAAAGATGCTGAGAGCAAAAAAGGCCAGCACACCACCCTCGGTTCAGCTGAACTATCCCATTTCAAAAATAGATAACATGGACCTCACCCATAAGGTCAAAATTCTTCCTTTTGACATCTTTGGAATGAAAGAAGACTTTCTGCAGAGCTCCTAGGTGGTGCAGCAGCTCTTTCCAGCAGGAGCCAGGAGCAAAGGACACCTGGGTGGGTCTGGAGACCCTGCCAAGGACTCCAGTGCTTGTCTAAAGCCTGTCCTTGGGAGACTGATCCCAAAGGCTTTCCTTCTCCTTCAGTGCTTACCTTATTTTGGAACATCTGCTTTTGACTCCTCAATCCCTCTGACACCTTTGGCTGCTTGAAAGCACCAGGAGGATTCGAGTTTTAAATAGCTTATGGGCTGAGCTCAAAGCTCACACAGGCCAGGCAGCACCAGATGGGTTTTCACAGGGAGAAAAATGCAGTTTAACATGGAAGCCAGCACCCATGTCTTTAAAATCAAGAGCTGGCTTCCTCAAGGTACCCAAGATACACAGCTCCCTCCAAAGCTTGGGAGCCCCACTGGGCAGGGAGCAATTCCACAGCAGAAACATCCATTTTGAGCCCTTGATGCAAAACCCTGTGTTAACTGCTGCCTGCAGACTGTCCTATTTCTGGTTAAAGCATGATCAGCCTGAGCTCAGGGAGAACAGGAGATAAGCTCTGAGGTTTCTTTACTGCTCTTCCCTCCACAGGTGGCCTGAGTTCTCCCAAACACAAAGGAGAAGCCCAAGTTCATCCATTTCATCTCCTTGCCCTGATTCTTTGGCTTCCTCATGCCCACATCATCAATACAAGCCTACAGAGAAAGGCTGAGCCCACAGAGGAGAGACAGCCCAGTCTCCTCTGAGCCCCACTGGGTGCTGCACCCATCTCCACGGGTTCCTCTCCAGATGAGCACCTCTCCATCTCACTTCTGAGGTCTGGAGGAAACAAAATCATGCCCAGCAGTGGCCCCACTTACCAACATACAACGGGGAATTGTTGGCTTCTGCAAAGTCATCCACATAGGATATCCCAAAGGGCTGGATGGGAACTGTCCCAATGCCAGCCAGCAGCTGAGCAATGACCATCATTGCCCATATGCTGCTGGCCTCCTTCTGGGGATCCTGGGTGGTGTTTGGGCACACAAACTTATTCTCTGCAGAGCAGAGTTCCACCTGGAGCTGGCTTTTGTTTCCTGAAAGGGAGAAGAATGAGAGCATTTCAGTGCTGGGCATGGCCCCTGCCTCCTCCCCCACCCCAGATCTCTAAAGAGCAGGAAATCTCCCAGCTTTGCATATGCAGTTGGATTTTGGATGGATTGCTCGTTTTATTTAGCAGTTCTTGTCACCTTTTCCTTCCTTTGGGGTGTTATACTTGGGGTTGGGGTAGCAAACAACCATGCTTTTGTAGAGAGGCTGATCAGAGAAGGTGGAAGCAAACTAATTTCTCCTGCAAAGGCCCAGCAAGCTGTATTTGAGCTGTCATCAGAGGGTGAAAAGCTCTTCACCAAATCAGCAGCAGCCAACTGACAAACTTCAGGCAGACATTGCCAAAGCCAGTGGAAAAGCCTAAATGTTCATGGGTGAAAAAAACCCCCTCTTTTTCATGCAAAATGAAGGCATTGCAGAGCAAGGAGAGTAATCCCTGATCTAATGCTAGCTCTTCTCCCTCTGTTTGCTCTTCCTCTTTTCCTTTTTTTATTATTGGTTCAACATTCCTCTCACATCTTCCTCATTAGTGTAATAACTGGGGATTTTCTACACTTCTGAGCAAAGAGACCCAAAATAACCCCAACTATCTGTCAGATGATGAGGGGGTGTCACAGCAGCACTAAAATTCTCACCTCTGTCCATTCGAGGCTGTGTTGTCTAAAGGGTTCACAGTGCCAGGCAGAAGGAACCTCCTTGCCTAAGGAAGGATTTCCCAAAGCCAGAGCCACAGAAGTCTCTCAGGCCAGACTGCATGCCATGGGTTGAGGCTGCCCCCAGTTTAATGAGGGCAGAGCTAAGCCATGGCTGTGTTTTTTGAGGCCAGTGGTCTTGTCTCCCTTGTGGAACCCAAAACCATGAAGAATTTTGAGGCTGCACAGCAAGGGAGGCAGCTGTGAGCTAGCAGGGAGCTGGTTGTCATATTTTGGTCATCCTATAGGGTGGCAGTCCCCAAGGAGGCTGAGGCTCATTGGCATCCTGAGGGTTTAGGGGTTGAAGTCACTTTGGGAGCACCCAAATCAGCCCTGTGGCATGTGAGGCAGGTTTTTCTGCATCTTGCATCCTGCACAGAAACTGAGCTGTCATTGCACACACCAGCTTGTTCCCAAAGCCTACCCAGTTAAACCAGTAGCCCTCCTTAGTGTGGATCATAATGCTTCCTGGTTAGACCAGAACAGGCCCTGGGGACAGGAGATCTTTGCTGCATCACCCACACACTGCTCAGCAGCAGGAAGATGAGCTCACTTCTCCTGCTGCAATACCTCTGTGACTCCAGTGAAGATCATGTTCCTTTCCTTTCCAAAATTCCCTGGCCTATAGGTGAGCCATCAGCTGGGTTTGCCTCCAGCCTGGGCTCTCAGCAGGGCTGCAGGGAAGCCAGGCTCCAGCAGGTAGGTTTGCTTTCAGCCCTTTGGCTGCCTGCAGCAAGAGCAACCCAGAGCAATGGCTTTTGTCAGGCACAAAAACCAGGAGGAAGGAGAAGTCAAAGCTTAGGTGGTGCAACAAGGCATCCACACACATCAAGACTGCACTTGGAAGCCTTCTTATCACTCAGGTGAACTGCTGTGCCCCCAGAACATGTGGCACTGGCTTATTTCTTCAGGAGATCAGGGCCATCCAAACAAGACTGAGAACTCTGCTGGTATGAGTCCAGCTCAGCATTCAGAAAAACACAAAGCCTCAGTAGCAAGGTACTATAAAGCCTTTGAGCCCTCTCAGGAGATGTATCAGTGTCCCAAAAAAGCCAGAAGGGAAGTCATTTGTCCACAATCACCTGGGGCATCAGCAGCACAACCAGCATCTCCTGCATCCCAGAGCTTCTGCCCAAATCAGCAGTGCACTCCACTCAGTTATTTCACACTCTCTCCCTGGCTGGCTTTGTGGGCAGTTAAATGACATGGACACGTCACTGTGCCAGGCAGAGATGCAGCTTTAGAGCTGCCACTGGGGTCTTCTGATGCCACAGAAAGCCAACCTACTTCCAGCATGCTCCAGAGCAGGTTGGGGGGACACAGCCCTGCAGAAAGCAGGGACAGGTTGTACTTAGAGATCTCTTCAGATCTCCACAAGATCTGGTGGGCGAGGTGCCTGGAGAGGAGAGATCCTGGCTGCTGAACTTCAAACACAGCTTGCTCCCTCTGGAGGCCTTCAGGAGCACCTCTGGGGGATGGAGATCCTTCCCCACCACCAACAGGCACCTGCAACCCTGGCTGGGCTGCCAGGCCTGGGAGGAGCAGAAGGGATCCCGGGCGTAACTGCTGCCTTCAGAAGGGGCTGTAAAACTATGCTGAAATCAGGCAGCAAATCACTTACCAGGGCTAAGAGTGGTGGTGTACTCATAGGGCTCGGAGAGGAAGTGGGGCAGGGTGACCAGGAAGGCCCCCAGGGCCAGCAGCAGCCCTCCCAGGCCGATGACCCGCGGGCGGTGGACGCGGCTGCCGAAGTAGCTGACGAAGATGATGAGGACCACGTTGCCAATCTGGAAAGGGGAGGAGTGTGTCAGAGGAAGTCAGGACCCTGGAATTAATCCCTCCCCCATGCCTACGTGATGTTTGCTTTGGTATTACTTCTCCAGGCACTAGTTTTCATGAGTAGAAGTAATTCTCTAGTTGATAAGGAGGATATGGGTTATAGCTTTGAGATTATTCTGCAGGGCTTACTCATGGCAGTTCATCACTACCAGTGTTCAAACTGTCCCTGCTGGGTCTTTGCATGCTTTGAACCTGGTCTCAATAGGCTTTGAACCACTCTTTTGAACCCCAGATGTAGGTGCTGGTTGAGATAAGACCTGGGCATCTACTTCCCCAAGGATTCTTGGTGCCCAGCCTCTTGGGGAAGGATCCCACGTGAGAAAAGCAGCTGTATGCAAGGTGGACTGCCACCAAGGATCAAAAGAAAGTCTCTACCAGCAGCTCTTCTCCTAGTTGGCCTGGAAGAGGACAGAATCCATGACAATGTGAACTAGAAAACTTGTTCCAGTTCAGCAACATGCCAGTGAAAGTCAGTCCTTTGCCACAGGGCCACCAGGAGCTGGGAGCACTGGAGAGAGGGCCAGATCTTGGAGTGACTGCTGGCCAAGGTCTCCTTCTAGAGAAAGCTTGGACTGATAAAGACCAGGGTCACTCCTAAAGCCAATGAGACACCTATGAAAACAGATACCCTTACTGGAAATTGCTTACAGAACTGTAGTTGTGTGGCTACCACTCATAATAAAATGCTCTTTGCCAAAGCTGCAAGGGCCATGATCAATGCAGAAGAATCACATTGTGTGGTTCCTGTCTCCAAGGCCACATCTTCACCACACAGCCCTACATGGTACAGCAGAAGTGAGGTGTGAAGAGGTGTCCAAGTGCACAGCACAAGCAAGGGTGGATGAGGACACACTAGATGTGAACAACCCTGAGATTCTACTCTGGAAAAGTCACCACTGCCTTCTGGCCACCCCTCAGGAGCCCCACCAGAACTCCTCACCCAGTTACCTCGTGCAAGCTGGAGATGAAACCTGAGGAGAGGCTGGAGAGCCCAAAGCGCTTCTCAATGGTGGTGAGGCTGCTCTTGAAGTTGGCGCTGTAGAGGAGCTGGGAGAGCTGGAGGAGCCCATGGCACAACACAAACACCTGCAGGCAAACAAAGGGCCATCTCAGTGAGCACCCAGTGATGTGTAACTGCTGGCAACCATGTCCCACGGAAGGGGCCTGAGACTCATATGGGTAGGGACTGGTTTTGGCCAACGTCGCCGCACCTCTGCCGTGCCACAGATCTACTGAGATCTCAGCCCTGGAGCCCTGGTTAACTTAGCCTTGCAACAGGAGTGATGTGGTGTCCAGAAGAGAGGACAAGAAGCTCTGGTTTTAACTTTTCTCTGCTTTATTGTTATTAATATTCACTGGGAGTTGCACTGTAGCAACCCCCCAAGCCGAGGAGGACCTGTGGCACTGGGATCTGCACAAGGATAAATAAGAATCACAGAATGGTTTGTGTTGGAAGGGACCTTAAAATCATCTCATTCCAATCCCCCCCCTGCCATGGGCAGGGACACCTCCCACTAGACCAGGTTGCACAAGGCCCCAGCCAACCTGATCTTGAACCCCTCCAGTGATGGAGCACCCACAGCTTCTCTGGGCAACCTGTTCCAGTGTCCCACCACCCTCATAGTGAAGAATTTCTTCTTTATATCTAATCTGAATCTCCCCTCTTCCAGTTTGAGCCCATTAGGCTTCATCCTATCTCTACAAGCCCTTGAAAATATAGCAGGCTGGACTTTGCACAGACTTGGTGAGTGCTCCTGAGACCATGTTAGGTCTCACCACAGTGAGACCACGTTAGAACCAGCCCTGCAGTTGTCCTGTCTCAGCTGAAAGGGATCCCTGCTGGTTTACACTACCTGAGACCCAGTATTTCCAGCTGGCCCCTTGGATTCACTCAGCTATAAAGCCAGTTATCAAGACCTGCTCCATGGGGTGTTGCAAGAAGGTGGTGAAAAAGGTCTTGAAAAGCCCCAGAGGGAAAGGATGATGTACACAAAACGTGCTCTCACTCCTGGCAGATCTCTGCAGTGCTCTGAAGACACCATCTCTCCCTTGGGATGAAAGCAAAGGGGGCAGAGAAGGGAACAGAGATGGGCCAAGGCAGAAGCATGGTCAGAAGAAGCTGGGTGGCCTGGGAGAAGAAGAAACTCTCAGCCAGGGATGCAGGAGGCAGCTCACAAGTGCCTTTTGATCTATATATAGTCAGCACGGTTTTCCTTTATTTTTCTTGGAATGAAATGCATCCCCACGGTGCCAAAAGTATTTTAAAATCATTTCCAAAATTAAAAAAAAAAAAAAGAAGAGGGAAAAGGTTCTTTTCATTTCAATTGACAGGAAATCAAATATTTGCTGAATACCGGAAGTGTGTCCCACAAAGATAACGACGGGAAGCTCCAGATGATGAATGGAGGCTCAAAAGTACTGCAGGGTCGACAAATTCCTTCTGTCCTTGGCCAGGAGAGCAGCAATCCTCAGTATTAGGGTTTATCTGAAACGGTGGTAGCACCCAGAAGCCCTGAGCCATTGTGTGAAAAAAAAAAACCCCGACCCCAAAACAGGAAAAGAACAAAATTGTCCACCCGAAACAGAGGATGTAAATGCCATAGGTGGGTGGAGTGGCTTTTGGGGGGAGCAGAGGAGGACACAGAGCCAGGTCCCAGCCATCTCAAGAGGCTTTGGGTAGAAGATGATGCAGAAGAAGATGGTTTCTTGGGAAGCTTCTCCAGTGCTGGATATCTAAAAGGATAAAAGCTGCTGACAGGTAGCGGGAGAGAAGAGCGTGGAGATGATGATGGAGAAAATGGAGCCCTGGCAGTGAGAGGGCAGGCTGGGAGCAGTCTGGAGACCACAGAAAACCAGGAGAAAGGTAAATGGCAACAAAAAAAGGGAAGAGGGTCACAGGGAAAAGCCCCCAGCCATGCCTTGGAGGAGTGTCAGCAGGCATCTGCCACAGCAGAGGACAAAGTCCCAGGGATTTCTGCCCCGCCAAAAGGCTGCAGAGCAACGACGTGGGGTGTAACATGGGAAACCTTCACAGGCAGGGACAAAGTGGAAGGGAAACATCTGGAAGTCAACTCTGGGAGCAGAACGACCTCCACACCGTCCAGCTATCCACTCCCTACACTCAAAAATCCACCCCAGCAGAGGGTCCTGTGGGTGAAATCTGGATCCGTCACCTTCCACCATCCTGCCCCTGGGATCAGCGCGCGAGGACTCCAGCCAGGCTGCTCTGGAGCAGAGCACGAGAAAGGGAGATCTTGCTGCCAGAGAACATTCATCTTTCTTCCTGAAGCTCTGGCCATACCCTCCTGAAGTCATTCAAAGAAGGAAGCACTGGCTAAACATCTCTGGGCTGGGCCTGCCGGGGACGCAGAGCAGCTGGAGGGAGAGCAACCCTGGTGCGAGGCGTTAGCTGGAGAAGCACAACTGTTTACCAACAGGGAGGGAAGAGGGTGGATCACTGAGGCTGAAATTAGCCCAGCAAATGTCAGCCTAATCCCAGGACAGAGAGGGAGCTGAGAAGTGCTGGGGAAAGAGAGGATGCTGCTGGAGAGGGAGGGTGGGGAGGAGAGGGAGCCTGGCTCCCCGGAATGCTGGGGTTGGCAGGGGATGGGGAGAAGGGAGAAGCATGGAAGGACCTTCATGCTTCATGAGAGAATGGAGGGCAGGAGATGAGAGGGAAGAGATGTGGCAAAAGGTCACCTCAGAGGGTTTGTGCATTGGTGATAACCTGAGGATGGACAAAATAGGGCTGTGGACCCCAAGATGCCTGGGAGCAGGCTGGGGCTGCCTGCCCAAGGGGAGGCACAGCAGCAGAAATGCCACAATGAGAGCAGGGAAAGACTTCAGGCTGTGGCAGCTCCTCACCTGCCCCCGAGTCCTTCAGGGCTGGCTCCTGCAAGCAGGGGCAGCAGGAAAGACAGAAGAGCAGGAGGAGGCTCAGGGGAGGCTGCCACCACTGAGACCCCACAGCAGCCTTTGGAAGTGGAGAGCCCAAAGGATGGGAGAGCAGGGACAGGGACCTGTCACCCAAAACATTCAGAGCAAAGCAAAACAGCCTTTGCTCCACGACTTGTGAGGCTGGAACTTGGCTTTTCCAGACACCCTTCAGCTGCACAGAGGTGGGAGATGTGCCTGACTTAAGACATCCCCTCAGTTCAGTTGACTCAACTCCTTCAACCCAACCTTGAAGGCTCTGAGTGTGCCTAGCTGGAGAGGGGCTTGCTTGGAAGGCTCTCCACCAGGAGCTTGGGCACTGCCTGACCTCAGCACTGGGCAACACAGCCTGGCTAGGAAGAGCAGACCTCTGAGCCTGCTGGTGATGAAGGGCATGACTCTCCTGTGTCCCATTGCAGGTTCTGACAGCTCTCTGACCCATCCTTGTTCCCTTCCCCATGCACCTCTAGCCCTTGGTCCATGGAAATCAGCACCAAGCTGGTCCCTTCCAGCTGCAGAGGGCACCAGATGTGCTGTGCTGGCCTCATGCACCCACCAAGCAATGCCTGATGAAGCTGGGACAAGGCTTCTATCATCCACCCTGCCTAACAAGGAAGGAGGAGTTCTCAAAGGAGAGCCAAGACCATCTGAAGGGAGACCTTGCTGATGCAAAGCTGACACAACGACCCTGAGGGTGACGACCTGGTGCAAGGTTAAGGAGTTGGGGACACTCCCAGGAATGTGAAGTGTAGACCCTTCAGAGCAGATGTTTCCATCAGAGCCTGGTGCATTTTTGGGGCCACAGGCAAGCAGCACTCCAGGCAGGCCCGAGGTGAGCACCTACCTGCACCCACCCACCCACCCACCCCCCTCTTAACCATCCCCCCAATTCCATCAGAGCAGCTGACTGATCCTGACTCCAGGCTGGTGGTACAAGACACTGGGCTCCTTTCCAAGCCACACTTCATTTAAAAGGGAAGCAAAAGTCCCCACAGAGCATACAGAGATGAGGAACCCAGAGCCAGGAAGTGAACCTGGCCTTGAGGTGGACAGGTTCTGACCCCTTCCTTCTTGGGGTAAGAAGTTTTTGGAGTCAGATGGAGGTTATTGCTCCCAGGACTGGATCCCAGGACCTCACATCATGCACTGGGTCCACTAAGCTGTAATCCTGCACCTTGTCTCTCTTTCCATATTGCTCACAGAGGAGAATGCACTCTTAGAAAAGCCTGTCATGAAAGGTGGACTCTTTCCTATGTGGTTTTCTGGGGGGCAGGCTTGGGGAGCATCCCTTGGTGATCAAGGCAGGCAATAAAATGCTTGGCAAATTGGGTTAAATAACAAAAAAAAACCCCAAACATGAAACACTTGATGACCCTAGCAGGCATGGGTTGGACCTGGGGCAGAGTTAAGGCCAGGTAAAAATGCAAGGGCAGCTCCTGGCATGGGCTCTCTTGTTCATGCACTGGTACCAACTGCTGTGCCCAGCACCCTTCCTTAAAAAAAAAGGAAGGGGTAACTTTAGGAAGGAAGAAAAATATCTCCAAAATGATTATAGTCCAGGAGAAGACAGGCTGTTTATTTTAGAGCTTGTGTAGGATCAACGCTCACTACACTGAGAGATCCTCCTGCAGCAGGGTGGCTGAGAGCACTCAATTCAAAAGCCAGATCAGCTGGAAATGAAAAGTACATGGAGAAATACACCCCTCTCTGGCTTCTCTTTATTTATAGATCAAGAAGCACCAGGAAAAATGGAAGAAAACCCCCAAACAAACCAAAACCAAACAACATTTCCACAGAAGGAACTAAAAGCCCTGCCGCAGAGCACCTCTCCTAGCACGACACCTCTGAGCCTGGCAGCAGTTGGCTTCTAAATCTTATTTCTACTGCAAAAAAAAATATAAACTCATAATAAATGTCAAATGGTTCCTGCTTTGCTGAGTGGCTGGAGAGGGAGTGCTCCAAGGGGCATGGAAGGCATGGAAACACCTCCCTGCCTTGGCACGCAGCTGCCCGTGGCAGATGCTGGAGAGAAAGGAGGGTCTTGGCTGTGCAGAGTTGCTGACCCCAGACCCTGGGGGTGTGAGGTGTGAGGGTTTGCTGCTTCCCAAGCTGCTGCTGAGCACACAGGAGAACACAACAGACCCTGCTACACAACCTGCCTGCTGCCTGGCACCACAGAGTGCAGCTGGCTCCTGGCACCT